TCCTGTCACCCCAGTCAAAACGCTTCAACAGTACAGCACTGTCTTTGGAGTACAGAGGACACTCGAGGCCCGCTGCACTACGACAGGCCCGGGTGGGTCACTAACCACCCTCTGGCTGCTCTCTGCCTCCCTGTCACCCACTGCACTAACTGCGCGCACTGGCGCCGCCCCCGCCGGGCTGCTCCCTCTTCCTCCTGACTCCTGCCCTTCAGGTTTCACTCTCCACCTCAGGGCTCCACTCAAATGCTGTTTCCTTCGTCACACTGCCTCTGATCGCTTCTGCTCGCATAACTTATCCTCTTCTGACCACCGAAATTACTTCTGTATGCATTTAACATAACCTGCCCACTTCTGATTATTAGCTCTTGTGTGTATTATATGCACTTCTAGAAGAAAATATAGATGTATAGTTCACAAGACCTTGGCTTTTCCCATAATGAATGAAAAAGTGAATTATTCCAACTCAGAAAGATACGCTGGTACGAGGAGGACGTCTGCAGCAGGATTCCGGCAGGGACGCCCCCAGTGCAGGAAGATGGAGGAAGAGGTGGCTGACTGTAGGGCTTACTTGGTAAACTGTCTCACAGACGTCCCTTTGTGAGACAAGCACCAACACTTACTCCTCAGCATCTGCCACAGAACGCTCGCCTGGTCTCGCAGGCAGTGCTAGCGGGTGGAACACAGGTACCCATTTTCTCTTCTTTGTGAAATCTCACTAAGCCGACGAGCAGACGGAAGCACGTCCGAGCACACGGGCAGAGGCAGGATTTCCACCCTGGGATTCCCCAAAGGCTCAGGAAGGGGCAGCACCGTGGATGGGGAGTAGGGGACAAGACGAAATGACCGTTCTCTCCCCGAGGGAAGGGTAACGTTGTCTTCAGGCTCTGCCCAAACCACACAGTGGAAAGAAACAATGGCTCTTGCGAACACCGAGCTTGCTGCATTTAAAGACCTCGGAATGCAATGGCACCACACCAGGGAGCACCGGAGCCCGTGTCTCGACAGTTGCCCGTGTCTCGACAGTTGCTCGCCACCGTCCTCAGCTAAGTACCACTTCACAGAGACCAGGCACTATTCGTGGATGCTGCGAGAAAGCCCCACACAGAACAGTAAGACTCTCAGACCTCTGGTTACTCGCTATTTGCTATCAAAGCTGGAAAGCTGTCTATTGTCTCTCTGAGTGGTGATCTGTCCAGGATGTCCAGTGAGCAGTCAAATACTAAAGAGAAACGAACAACCAGGTTGCACAGAACTGGGAATACTGCTCTGTACTACGCCGGCCCTGTGTAATGATTTCAGAAGACTTTTTCTACATTTGAAACAACTTAAACTAGAGCGGAATACCTACCTGGATGAGACAATGACAAAACCATCTGGGCCAGGGATATACCTCAGTGGCACAGTGCCTGTCTGGCAAGCATAAAGTCCTGAGTTCAATTTCTGATACCAAAAAAAAACCAAAAAAAAAACCAAAACACAAAACCATCTGGAAGCAGGGCGTGGTGGCACATGCCTCTAATCCCAGCTACTAGAGGCTGAAGCAGGAGGAATGCAAGTTTGAGGGTAACCAGACCACTCAGTGAAACCCTGTCCCCAAATAAAACTTTTAAAAGGGCTGGGAGCTTCGCATGGTAGTGTGCACATCTGTAACCCAAGCTACTCAGGCAAGTTAGGGCCACCAATTAGACCAACGTGTGCACCAAGATCACCAATTCTACTTCCCATCGATTTTTTCTAAAGAAAAACTCTTGCTGAATGCAGAGATCCATGCCTATAATTCTAGCTCAGGAAGGCTGAGGCAAGAGGATCACAAGTTCAATGCCAGATGAAGTAACTTAGCAAGACTGTCTCAAAAATAATAGTTCAGCAGTAGAGTACCTGCCGAGCATGTGCAAGGCCCTGAGGTCAACCTCCAGGACATGTGCACATGGGCAGACATGTGTGCAAAGAAAAAAAGGAAAAACATTCTTGTAATGTATAAGAATATATGTACAGCCCAGCGTGATGGTGCACATATGTAATCCCTGCACTCTGGGAGGCTGAGGCAACAGGACTGCTGTGAGTTCAAGGCCAGCCTGGACTGCATAACGAGACACCATCTCAAAAGACTGGAAAAAAAAAAAAAAAAAATTATATAAAATGTCCACAAAAATGGTGGAGACAGATCAAACATTCATCAACTTGAGAATGAAAATATGAGCTACAGGAATTCAGCAGCTATTAAGAAAGAGTAAGCATTATGGTTTGCATCTAGAGGTCCTACAAAGCCTCATACTCTTACAGGTATATGAGGGGTGGCTGGATTATGGGGCTTACAGCTGACTTGCTGTCAGGAGGGGTCTCTGGGACTTCAGCTCTCCCCTCAGCTCTCCCCTTTGCTTCCCGGATGCCATGAGGTGAGCCACTTTCCTTCCCGGCAGGCCCTCCGACCGTGTGGCTCTGCCTCAGAGCCGGCCCACCAGGAACAGAAACGGCGACCAAGTGTCAGCCACAGGAGACCTTTCCTCGAGTGGTGGGTGTCGAGTATTTTGTCCCAGTGATGAGGTGAATGTCTAAGACAATTAATACAGTTATTTTTTTTTCCTTAATCTTGTTGTTTCTTCTACAGGGAGTGAACTCCGGGCCTTCACACTGAGCTACATCCCCACCTCTTTTAATTTTGAGACAAGGTCTCATTTAATTGCTAAGTTGCCCAGTTGGACTCAAACTTTTGATCCTCCTGCCTCAGCCTTCAAGTGTGCGCCGATTACCTGTGCTCATCACCATGCCTGGCCACACTGTAGTTCCTTACAATATACTGAGGGATGGAACGCTCTGGTCATCTTGGGAACACTGCCTTTGGAAAGCTGATCCATTAATTCGTAAAAGCGGTAGAGGATAATGACATTAATGGAAAAGCAAAAAGGATTTTGTATGAACAAGGCACAATGCGGTCGGCTGATTGCCTCCCTCCTACCAGCTCAGGCAGGCACTCCCTCCCGGCCGGCTGCTCCGGTTAGGCCAACAGGACGGGCAGGGCTTCTAAGGAGCTGGCCAGCCCGTGTTCATACTTAATGTCTCAGCCTCTTTGTCTGAAAGATCTTGGAGCGATCCAGCTTGCCTGGAGGCAGGCGCGCCTTACTTGCTTCTGTTCAATTACCCTCACACACAGAGAGAGAGAGAGAGACAGAGAGAGAGAGAGCAAGCTAGCTCAGTACTTGGGGCTGGAGGAAGCTGAAGCAGAGGAGTAGCAGCTGCGAGGGCCTCCGTCCTCCCTCACAGCTCCCTCCTGACTGGGGACTGCAAGTCCCACAGAGACTATGGCAGCCAGGGGCGAAGGCCTGCTCCTGACTGGGTCCAACTCTCCCCTATTCTTCCTTCCAAAAGCTGAGCAAGCTATGGGTAGTGGTTCCAGATGAAGTCTTTGAAAGAATCAGAATCTCTTTTCTCCCTGATGCTGAAGGCTCTTCCCTTATGAAGAACCATTTTCTAACAGAACATTAAATGGAATCCAGTGCTGGGTCTATAAGGGTTTTGTTTTAAGCACTTAGAAAGGGCATCAGTGGTCTACTCTGCCCTAAGGGTCTGAGTTAAAAATAAATCAATACAACAAAGAAAGGACTTCGGACAGTCGTTTGCACAGTGCTGAAAGTATGGGATATCAATGTGCAAAAACCAACTCAAAATGGATTATAAAGTGTAAAACCTACAGGTAGGAAATTTCTAGAAGACACAGGAAAATATTTGTCACTTTAATCACTTAAAAAAAAAATTAAGAATCTCTGCTCAAAAAAACTGCGAAAGTCTGGACTGGTGGTGCATACTGTAATCCCAGCACTCTGGTAGGATGAGTCAGAGGCTCACAAGTTTGAGCCCATCCTGGGTACCTTAGCAACTCAGCAAGACCCTGGGTTCAATCCCCAGTACCACCAAAAAGAAGAGAAGAAGACATTGTACAGACAGCGTCACAGACTGGGAGAAAAACACATCTGATAAAGAACTTCTAAGCAAAATATAAAGAACTCACAACTCAATGGGAAAAGAAACAAGCCATTTTTGAAAATAAGCAAAAGATCTAAATAGTTCATTAATGGTAAATAATCATATAAACAGATGCTCAACTAGAGAAATGCAAATCAAACCCATTAGAAGACATCACTACATACCAATCAGAATGGCTAAAGTTTCTGGAGAAATAACAGTGTGAGAAGTATCAGGGAGGCTACATACGAACCGGAATTCTCATACACCACTGACCTTGTTCAGAATGGCACAACCACCCTGGAAAAGGGCGCGGCAGCCCCTTTCCACAGTTAAAGGTGTTTCCTAGGTCCCAGCAAGCCTACTCTTACATACAAGTGAAACGAAAACTTACAATTCACACACACAGCTTTTTGCAAATGTTTGTAGCAGCTGTACTTACACCTGTCTAAAAACATGTAAGTGACCTGAACGCCGCCGAGGAGGGGAACGGATAAACCTGTTCTCCTAACAGTTATATAACAGGATGTAAGGGAGCGATGAAATGGGACACCTCACTGGCCTGTGTGACAACATGAGTGAATCTCAAATGTCCTCTGCTGGGCGAGAAGGTATTGAATGGGTTCATTTGTGTAACTTTGGGGAAAAGGCAAAGTCACTGGGACAAATGTCTGAGCTGTAGCTGCCAGGGATAAGGGACGGGAGGGGCAGGCTATAGGAGGACAGGGGACCACTCTTTGGTGTGATCAAACTGTTTTCTATTTTGACTGTTGTGGCAGTTACATAGCTCTATCTGTCAAAACTCATGACTTTTATTTTTTAAAGCTAAAAAAACGGGAACCATAAAGCACAAAGCAAAAGGAAACACTATGAAAATGCCACGATGTTTCTATACGCCAGAAGCGACAGCCTTTTCACGAGGACCATAAAAACCAGGTTCACAATGTCATCCACACCTGCGCATCCTGTCCGCCACCCGGGACCCTCCGCCAAGTCTGACAAAGGACATTTCAAAGGAAACCGCCTCACCCCACTCTTACCAGAACCACGGACGCTCTTCAGACAGAAAGGAGCACTGGTTCTGCCCTGCACAAGGCCTAGTGCCTGCAGCTGACGGGCTCCTTCCCAACTGCAGTGTGAAACGCAGCACCCTCCGGTCCAGCCTGGGGAGAGCCAGTACGATACTGACACCGACACCGACAGGCTGGCGTCTGTCAATCCTGCGACTCTCACCCTCTCAGCGGCAATGAAAGTAGGCCAAGGGGACAGAGGGACAGAGCACTCTCGTTACCGGGTGGTAACCAATCACGGCCCCTCCCTAGGACTATCTTACTCTGAGGTCAGGGCTCAAAAGCAGCCTGTACAGTCCGCCTGACCCTGAAGGGACAGACCTGTGGGGCTTGTCTGCCACATGGCATCAACTCAGGGGTTAGGGCGAGAGCCCCTCGATCCATCCCCGTGGCGGGGTGGCAGTCTCTCCTCCCATAGCTGCCACCCAGGCTGACCCAACCTCCTGGCTGCGTGTGGGGCAGCCACCTTCACCCCAGGTACAGAGCTGAGTATGGAAAATGAAAGCAGGACACAGCCACCGCGCAGACTGCCCGACCCAGGGACCCCTGCCGCAGCCACCTCGCCCTCCCCTGCCCTCAGGACCACAGGCTGTAAAATCCCGGTGGAGCTGTCTCTGCCACGGGGCGCAAGTGAGGTGTGCCATGTGTACCTTTCGTCTTTCCGTCTGCTGACACCAGCTTCTTTGTCTCTGCAGTTAGGAGCAGCTCATAAGGGTGCTCGTCCTCTTCCCTGACTGCGCTCCCCTGAGTTCTGGGTCGCAAGGCCAGGACCTGAGAGAGAGAAACACTCAGTGCTGTTGTGCGTTTGGCTGCTACCTAGACAGGAGCTACTGAGCACATGCGCAACGGGCTCCGCTTCTGCAGCTGAGGGCCGCTGAGGACAGGGAGAGAAGGTAAGTGACTCAAGTGTCACAGGGAATCACAACTGCTTTCCGGGCGCTACACCTGCTAGGACTTGCCCTCCCAAGACTGTGCTGGGCACTCGCTCCCCCGCCCGACCGGGACTGCAAGCAGGAGAACCTGTAAGAGGTGGGGCGTCGCGGGAGGCAGTCAGGCCAGGCTGGCTCCACACTTGACCAGTCCGCCATGCAAGGATTGAGGCTGCCCTCAGAGGTCCAGCGCTCTTGGCACAGGACCAGCTCCAGAGCGGGCTGCTGTGAAGTGAGTTTGGGCCTCTGCTCTTGCAGGTGCTACGTGACACATCCACCTGCTGTCATGCGGCAGCTGAATGGACGGGGCTTGGGCTTTCTGTCTTCACAACTGTGAGCTAAATACAGTAAACCTCTTTTTTTTACAAAGTGCCTAGCCTCAGTCTGTAAGGCTTTTTTTTTACAAAGTGCCTAGCCTCAGTCTAACAATAAAAACAGGCCAAGACAACATCGGGGCCACAAAATTCAATGGTCTTTGATTGGAATATTCTTTCTCATTTTACCCTTCAAAAAGTGGGGAGTAGAAGGCACACTCTGTCCTTCCCTTGCCCTCATCTCCACAGTGTTCCGCGCAGTCCCTTCTGTGGATGGTATCTCCACGCAGCTTCTGGCCACGCTGCATCCTCCTGTTATTTTTCTCGTATTTTTTTCCCTCATATACATACACTATCCAAAAGCTGAAATCCTCACCTTCGCAAGAGGAAACCAAGACGACTTCTGACTAATCCTGAACACTTGACATTTACTAGAAACGAGTGGCTCACAGTCTGACAGCCTTTCTTCACAGGCCCTGGGGCTGCAGAGAAAGAATCTCCCTAAGGTGGCTTCCTGCCACACGGACGGTGGCACAATTTTAAACGACTCCCCCACCTCTGCTCTGAAGAGCCACGTGGCCGGAAGCCTGGATTCCTGGAGGTGGGGTACGGGGTGGCGGTGTCTCTGTAAGCAGCCTGAGTCGGGGGGCCAAGTGTCCCTCGGAAAAGAGCTGGACGAAAGTGCTCCTGCACCTGCAGCTGGGAGGCTCTGGCCACTGCAGGCCTGGTGGCTGCAGCTGTCCCTACCACCACAGGAGCCAAGTTTTCCCTTGAACCAAGCCAGAAAACCACACTTGTGCTACAGCCCCTCGGGAAGAGAGCGCAAGCCTTGGAGGGTAACCCTGCTTGTTGGCCCAAGACGCCAACGTGCCCGAAGGCGAGTCTTCCCTCACACACCAGCTCTCAGGACAGCGGCCCAAGCAGACTCTTGCTGAGCAGTGTGGCTGGGGTCATGGATTCGGAACAAAGTGGCTGCGGGAGTCCCCAACTGGACCTAACAAAGAAGCTCACCCTACGAACAGTGGGATCCCTTAGTACAGACTCCTCACTGACACGCCCATGTGTTGGAAATGTGTCCAGCTTGCGGTTAGCAAGGGTTTGCCTCTCCCTGGCCTGCACCCTGGCCTAATGAGATGACAGGGGCTCTGGTTGCTGCAGACTAAGTGAGACGCTGCGGCTGCTGTTTGCTAGCGAGGCTGCCACTCTCAAGGCAGAATGACGTCTCCTTCCCAATTCTGCGGAGCACAGCAGGAACTCCATTTACCGAGAGCCACCTGGAAGCCAAAAGCCGTTTCATTACAGTGCAGCCATTTGCCTGTATAACTTATTCTTTGCCTCTTCTTTGCCGGGAACACAATTAAGGGAACAAAGAGGGCCCGTTAATCAGCTCGCACTGTGTCAACTTAATACCTAGTCTTTACAGACAGGAACGTGTGTGCTGCAGGTTTCCACACCCACCCAGCACTCGGCAGAGCTGGAAACCCGGCTCCCTGGGGATCCCACATGGCCAATGCTTGTGGAAAGCTTCAGGCAGGCCTGGCCTACAACCACCTCCCCAAGAGGCAAGGGACAGGATCTAGGACTTCCACCAGATCTGCATCTACTTCATGCCTGGTTTCTGTGCAGGACATGTAGAACCAGGAAAACCACCCACCATCCAAGTGACAGTCACAGCAGGTGTACCTGGTTCCAGGCCTTACATTTGTAGATGACGGAGCGGGTCCCACAGGGGCCCAGGGACTTGTGAGGGTTACACCTAGAGCTCTCAGCAGAGCCGTGGCCATAACATCAGTTCCCCTGTTGTGGACCTGACTGACCTCGTTTTTTTCTGGCTTTCATTTTACTCTCCACCCAGTCTGGAACGTGTTCGCTCCTTCAGCTGTCTATCGAGAATCCCTGCTCACACGCAGACAATAACCGAGGGTGTTCTCGTCTTCCTGGCATTGGCCCCTACAAGCTCCAGGATTAAAATCTCATTGTAAAGCAATCAACTGCTCTTTCTCAAGCCCTCAGCTTTCTCTCTAGCAGCCCCGTGTCACAGTGAACATGGCAATAACCGATTCTCAACAGAAAGGATTCTGCTCTTTACTAAATTACTTCTTAATCTGTTGTCTCTTTCCTCTAGGGCTGGCAATAAACCAAAGCTGAAAAAAGTTCTTCTGCTACGTGGACAGTAACACTGCAGAGAATCGCCATGAGCAGTACCACGAACAGTGGTCAAAGGAATGTCCAGTTGGGGTGCGGGCGGCTTCCAGGAAGAGAGAACACAGCAGCTGCAAACCCAGCAAGCCTAGCACATCCGAGCACCGAGAAGATCACAGTCCGTCCCCAAGCAGCTGCAGCCCCTTTTGCAGGGCAAAAGCATCTCAACAGCGCGGGCGCGCACACGGGTGTGTGTGTGTGTGTGTGTGTGTGTGTGTGTGTGTGTGTGTGTGTGAGAGAGAGAGAGAGAGAGAGAGAGAGAGAGAGGGAGAGAGGGAGGGAGGAAGGGAGAGGGGGAGGGAGGGAGGGGGAGGGGGAGAGAGAGAGAGAGAGAGAGAGGGAGAGAGGGAGGGAGGGAGGGAGGGAGGGAAAGAGAGAAATTTTTTTTAAAGCCAGCTTTACAATCAAGTCATAACTGATAAAGTCTCCTGGAGCCAGGTATGTTTCAGCTTCCTGTAAGGGCTGCTGTGGATCACCTCATAATGGGAACCCTCAGGAACAGGGACCCAGTCATGGGGGCAGATGCTTGCCCAATACAAACCCTAAAGTTTAATGTCAGTGTCTCCTGAGACAAGAGTTTAGGGTTTTAAAGCTTTGTGAGTGTAAGAAAGAAAGATGGTGCGGGTGTGGAGGTGCACACCTATAATCTTAGCACTCTGAGGGGCTGAGGCAGGAGGACAGCAAGTTTGAGCCCCATCTGGGCAGTTTAGAGACTCAGATCTATCTCAAAAACATAAAAATTCAAAAGGGCTGAGGGTGTAGCTCAGTGCAAGGACCTGGGGTTTAATCTCCAGAAAAGAATAAAAGAATGAAAGAAAGACAACAGAAAGAGAAGGGAACGGAAGGGGAGGGGAGGGAAGCGGGAGGGAAGACTACAGGGTTAAAAATAAATAGCCCACTTGTGCAGATGAGTATCCATTCAGACCATGGCATATGTACAAAGTCTGCCTGGGTCATCATTCAAAGGACAGTGACTCAGGGCACATCCCCTACATATTCACAGACCTCTACTGACCAGTGGATAAAATTCAGGCTTCTCGTGGCCTTCCAAATATTGACTGTGTTGGGGTAACTAACACATTCTAGAAGGCAAATTCCTACTCAGAGATTCTCCCATGCAGAATAATATGGACACTCCCTCACCACGCCCTGGCAGACTTCGTGCTTCAGAAAGTCTTGGGAGAATGGAAAATCCCAGCTATCTAATGCTTGTGTGAGTCTTGTTCCTATCCCCAGGGATTAGGAATTTCAATTCAGGCTCCTGTTAAAGAGGCAGCAAAAGGCATTTACGGAGACCTGGTCCCAAATGAATCTGCTCCTCACTACTCGGTTTCTCTGTGTAAAGACCAGGAATAAAGAAGCAAGCCTCTATTCATAAAAAAGTGTGGGGTTTACTCTGTGCACTTCTATCAGCCAGCAACGTACTATTACCCAGAGGTAATAACAAGAGGCTGCAATTCCAGAGACCTCTGGTTGAGACATAATAATAAGCACTTTGTAATTTGGGGACAAAAAGAAATAAGCAGAAAATGTGTACCTAGCATAAACATCCTCCCCTATCTCCCCCCTTGCCTTTAAGATTTTTAAAGGGATTTCCTTGAATGCACACATTTTACTAAACTAACGCCATGCTTACAGTGCCACATGCATACACGGAATAACAGAACCTGCCTTACTGGATGGTCCAGAGCAAGACTATGTGAGACAACGGGTCCCAGCTTCTACGGATGAGCTGAGGGGATGAATTAACGGGCTTACCTTAGTTGATATTTTAAAATTAAGGAATAATAACTGTCTATATTTAATAAACTTCAAAGTAACTTAAAATTATGAAGTATTCTGAATAAACACTGAAAAGCTATATTCTCTGAATGGTAGGGGGTATTAAAGGAGCATTTTAAAGAAGAAAGATCAAAGAAAACATAATTTTCTTCAAAACCCAAGTGAGAAGGAGTTATCCCCCCATGACACTTCTTTGTTAAAAAGCAATCTTCGCTGTCTCTGTCTGCCCTTCCGATACCACCCCTGCTGCTTTTCTAATACAGTCCTGGCGTGCAGGGCCCGCACATGAATGAAGCGGGGAAAGTGCCAGAACAGAAATACGGCGTTCGGGGCAGAAGCACCACTCTCACAAGGCGGCCCAGTCTAGACAGCGGAGACTGGGGGACAAAGCGACATTTTCTGTCAGGACTGCACGGGCACAGAAGCAAAAAGTAAAACTTCCATTACGGGACCTGGAGGCGCGTGCCTGCCTTGCTTCCCACGTGGGACGGTGGGCTGAAATTTCTGCAGGACTTCTGGGTGAGTCTGACAGCTCTGCTCCTAATCAAGAGGTGACAGGAAAATGAGAAAGCGAGCGGCAGGTGTAGCTCAGTGGGACAGCACAGGCCCGGCGCCTCAAAAAACAGGGGCAAGCAAACTCCTCTTTAAGCACGCTTTGGTGCACTTCTCAACAAACTCGTATTTCAGTGACAGGAATAAACCCTCAACCCTCTACCTCAGAAGCTGTCAAGGGAAAATACTTCTTATCTATGCGGTCTTCCTCCTCTTCATCCGGCGGCGGCTTTGCTGGAGGTGGCGGACGTTCTCTCTGCAGAAGGAAAAACACATACATATTCCACTACCTCATTTTCAAGTATCTAGCTTCTTGGTTTACCCTTATGTTAGCTCTTGGAAATGGAAAAGAATATGTAAAGAATTCTTCCAAGAGACCGAGGTGACAGATGGAGACCCTGTGCGCACACAGTCCAGTCGGCACTCTCCGTTTCTGACATCTGCTGCAAAGATCATAAACACCCCTTGACACCTCAGGCCACAGTGACCCACGCCGGCACTGACAGCTAGGCCCTGCCTTGTTAGAAAGCGTCCTCCATGATGCAATACACAAAACTTTAGGGACAGGAAAACCTGTAGCTCCACTTTCAGACTGCTCTAATAAGAAGGAATGATTAGGCAAAAAGAATGAACTTATGAACTAGTTCTAAAAGCAAGGTTACTGAGGAAGTAATGAGAAAAGTAATCAAGGGTACAACATTAGATCCTTTCAAACTTAAATGCTGTGACTTCCATCTCTCTCCTTTTATTAGCAAAAGTTCAAAGTTGCTCTATGGTGGTGCCCACCTGCAGTCCCAGCTACTCGGCAGGTGGAGGTGAGAGGATTACTTGAGGCCAGAAGTTCGAGGACGACCTGGGCAACACAACAAGTCATCACCTTCAATAATGAATATTACTTATCATCGCCACCTAAACACCTATGTCACCCTCAGCGTATTTTCAAAAGAAGAATATTTGTCAGTTCTCTGCCCTATAGCAAGCTTTCCAGTATGTGTATATGGTACTGGGAATTAAAGCTAGGGCCTTCACACTGAGCTACACCCCCAGCCCATTTTTTACCTCGAGAAAGGATCTCACTAAATTGCTAAGTTGCCCAAGCTATGCTCTAATCTGCCATCCTCCTGCCTCAGCCTCCCAGAGTGCTGGGATAACAGGTGTGCATCACCATACCCAGTTGGCAAACTTACTCTTAAAGGGCCAGGTAGTAAATGTTTTAGGTTTTGTTGTCAACTTTGCCATCCGAGTACATATGGAACAATAGAAAACAGGTAAATAAATAAATGTGGTTGTCTTCCAATACAACTTTATTTACAAAAAGAGGCAGTTGTAGATGGGCTTTAGATTGCCCACTCCCATCCTAGAGCAAGAAACTCACAGAAGAGGAGACGGTGGGCCAGTCAGATGACGGAGTGGACAATTTCAGGAGTATGCAGAATGATTCTGGTGAAGGAAACCCGGAAGCTGACAGCGAAGAGAGGTTCCCACTGCACCTGCAGTGCCTCCAGCACTGTTCACATTCATTCCAAAGCCCTGGCCACGCTTCAGCCCTCATTCCCACGGAACGGACTGGGGCCCTGCCACAGGGGCCGGCCCCTCCCTCAGCCTGCAAGCCAGTTCACCAGAGCATTTCCGAAGCCAGGGCAGAGGTGAGTGCTGGAGGATGGAAGCTCCCCAGAGAAACCTACAAAGAAAGACGCTTCTCCGACTTGGGGAGCTACCAGCATCAGTGTTTTGGCACCCGCAATCTCTGCTGGGACATGCTCAGCGCTGCACCGCCATAAATCAGTCATCTCCACAGTCCCTGGAGCCAGACGAATCCCCAGTGGCAACGACTGCAGAAGGGCTTTGTGTGCTGAAGCCAAACAAAGCTATTAGACCAGATTTCCCACCACATCTCACTTTCCTCACCCTCCTCTGCTCTGAAGTACAGGAACGAGCCTGGTCCCAGCGCAGGGCGTGAGAGAGGGAGCGGCAAAAGGCGCAGGGCTACATCATGTCCTCCACTGTAAACCAACCTGCGACACAAGCAGCTGAGGACAGCAGAGAGAAACAGCAAGACCAGAAAGGACACAACCCAGGAGCCTTCCAAAGGTCAAAAGGCAAGAAAGAACAACTTGAAAGGCTTTTGAGAAAGATGTGACCATCGGGGGCCTGGGAAGGGAACAGAAGTGCCCAGTGTGGACCACAGGCTGAGGGTACACAGCCAACGCGGACATCACTCCGTTACGCTTATCAAGATTTGCCTCTTTGGCACCATTAATTACCACGGGCCAGGAAGACAGAACAGCTACACGCGCAGGTGTGAAAATGCCAAGCTGTGTGCTCCAGACGCGCCAGTTTCTACTCAGCATGACCTTGGGCAGCTGGCTCCGTCAGGCGGCATGAAGCCGTCACCCAGCTTACGTCAGGTGGCTTGCGCTGCTGCTTGCCAGGGCTCCAGCTCCCCCTAATGGGCATCACCTGTAAGCACCATCTGACGCAAAGCCTTCCTCCACAGCTGCATCTGCTTCATTCCCTTGTGCCTCACAACGAAAGATGTGAAAAAACCCAGCTGTGTCCACGGAAGTGCTGTGTTAGCAGTGCTCAGAGTTCACACTTGCTTTCACCACTCACAAGGACTCCGTCACAGCCCCTGATAACAGCCACGCTGGTGGCGACCACAAGACTGGCGGCTCTCCAGGATCCATGCTGACATGTTGGGACTATTTTAGAGCACAGAAAAGGGCCCAACAAAAAAAGAACATTCCAGGAAACTCAGGCCAATCCCAGACACACCTGGAAGGACCAAGGATCACCCAGCAGCCAGAGGAGCAGCAAGATGGTCCTAAGCCAGACGCAGAGCAAAAGGGAAAGGCAGCTCTCCCACAGGAACCTGTCCCACGGTGGGTGGGGTTAGCACTGGGGTCCTCTCAGAGCCATGGCCAGCTTAGCCACTGCCAATGAGCAACGCTCCAGACCTGACAATGCCTGGCAATGAAGAGAGAAGGGTCATGGAACAGTGACTCAGGCCTAAGCTCAGAGCACAACCCTAGGGAAGACGAGAGAGTGAGCAGTCTTGAGAACTACGTATAAGCGTGGAAGTAAAAGCCAGCATCAGACAAGAGCAGTAAAACTGGGAGGTGGCCCTTGAGAAAGAAAAACCAGTGTTATCCCAGTGCTGTCCCTGTTAGCTCAGTGGCTGACGATGTCATGACTGAGTAAAAGAAGGCCGCAAACTAATGAACACAAGGTGTGCGGAAGCCTTTCTACAACCCAGCTGAATGCTGAATCTGCCCAAATCCACACGGATCTTGCCCTGCAGGCCGGCCAGGAAGGGGAGTGTACACTCAGAGAGGCAGGAACTCCTTTCACTGTGTATTTCTGTCTTCCAGCAAGGACACGAAAAATACACAGTGAAGACCCAAAGAGAGAGCAGCACTAGGATGAATAGAAACGAAAGACTTTAATGGCTCTTGGCCTGCAAAGGAATGGAAGACACAAACTGGTGATACTAAAACTAGAAAAATGAACGTCCTGCCTCCACGGGATCTGCATAGTTTTGCCACTCTGATCAAGACAGGGACACAGCAGAGCCCCATAAGGAAGAGAGAACAAGGGCACCCAGGTCTGTCGGACAAGGGCAGGCACTCGGTGCCACAGTCCCCCTTCCCAGTGCCCGCACGGCCTCGGGCCCCGAGCCACATACAGGCCTCACTCCAGCAGTCCTGCTGCCTGCAGCCTCGGCCTCCTTGCTCGTGGACTCTCGGTCCGACGACCGCCCGCTGGCCGAGCTGTCTAGCGAGTGGCAGGAGACAGCGTTGTACAGCGCCTCGTAGGGTCCCTCCTCTTCAGCGCTGGTATCAAAATCGATGATCAGCTCAGTCACCGCCTTCTCCACGTCACCTGAGGATGGAGGGCAAGGAGGTCAATGAAAGGGGCACAACCTCAGATTCCCACCCCAAACATCTGCAGCGATCTGAACTCAGAATAGTGACCCAGGCAGGACCTGGACCACTTGGCTCCAGGGCAGGAATAAATAATGCAGATTTCAGTAACTCTTCATACCCTGAGATTTAAACAGATTTTTCCCTAATTCAATAGGGCGAGCGAGGGTGCAGTTCAGGGGTGTGGCTCTGGCTTAGTGTGCACACTGCCCTGGGTTTGATTCCGGAAAAAACAAAACAAAAACAAAAAACTTTAGACACCTATGAGGGATCTCTTCCAAGACCTTTATAAAAGTCCCCAAATATCCCACTACCATAAGAGCATAAACTTAGCCCATAAAATATCGCAAAATATAACTGAAAAACTTAAGCCGACAGGAAGAGCCTCCATGTGCTCAAGTGGAGGGTGGCAGGCTTCTTGCAAGGCTGGCGCTGCACAGCCGTGGGACTCACTTGCTAGAGCTACCAACCTCGGAGCCTGTGGGGTCCAAATTTGTGACTCCAAAACAGTCAACTTAGAGAAGCTGACCATCTCCAGGTAGCTTGTATGTAGTCAAAGCTACAAACATAAGATCCTTGAAAGCTAAGCAGTTAGAGTGTTTAATCCCATTACCAGCAGACTACGAGGTCAAGGAAAAAGATGTAGGGAGGAAGGAGACAAAGAACCTGCAACAGACAGGCTGGGCACCCGTGACCCTCTGCCTCTGTGCACGCCTTCTTCTTTTCATTTTCAGCTCCACTCTGTTTCTCTCACCTTATTTATTAGGATCGGGGGAGAGGAAGTATCAGTTGGTCTTTATGTTGTCTCTATCATTCATCACACCAAGGACCCTAAAGGTTGCTCAATAAATCTGAAAAATGATTGCAGCTAACGAGGGATGGGCTGGACAGCCTATGTCAGCATCCAGGCCGCCTCTGTTGACCAGATGATACGTTACCAAAACACGTCATCGGAAGACACATCTGCCTAACAGGAGACACACACTGCACATTTACTGCGGGTCAACTCTGCCAGGCACTGCAGTATGTATGAGCACAAGGTTTCTCTGAGATCTGAATTCATCTTGACACAAGCCTGTCAATCACATTCTAGAGCCAACTATGCGAGTAGAGAACAAAATAAAGTAGAAAAGAAGAGGCCACAGGCAAAGGCCTAAGATATGGCCAATAAAACTTTATATGGTAGTTGGAAAAGTAAACTGAATATAAACTTACTAAGAGCTCACAACCCCCACTCATTATTATTTAAATTAGAATTTTCCATTCTGCCCAAGAATATTCAGCTCTTCCCAAGCTGAGCACCCTGTTCCCACCAGGAAAATCTCACCCTGAGACTTCGGTGCTACGGAGTCCACACTGGAGAGGAGAGGTGGTTGGGGTGTGGAGGTTTTATCTACATCTTTTGCACTTCTTTTTCCAGTCATGTGATCTATATGGGAAGATTAAAAAGAAAAGAAAAAAAGAACAGAGCTGCACCAAAGACAAATGCCTCAGCTTGGTTAACATGACTCCAGCTTCCCGGATGGCGAGACAGACTGGTACCTTCAATAAGTGCTGCTATCTGCTGGCTCTTCTGAGAAGGCAGTTCCCGGACAGTGTCGAGGGCAGTCAGTCCATGATTATCTTTTATGTTGACATCAATTCCTAGAAAGGCACACCAGGTAGACCAGGGGAGTGAGTGTTTTTATGCCACACTGAAATGAAAGAAGGTCAAATTCCAGGATGCCTAAGGCTCCCAAGTAGCACGACCAATAGTTTTTATCCACAGCCATTTAATTCAGCTATTTAGAAACAATTCATACATTTATAATCAACCAGCAGAGACACACATACACTGGGTTCAAATGCAGCCAGCAAAAAATTCCCCTCCAGGGAGGCTAAGGAGAAACAGTCCCATCCCCGGCATGCAGTGGAGACAAGAGCACTGCCGACCTCTCACCTGCAGCCAGCAGGATTTGCACCACATCGGTCTTGCCAAACAAAGCAGCCTCATGCAAAGCACTGCCCATCTCCGTCTGGAAGGCAAACGAGAGCGCAGAGCAGGCTGTCATCAGAACAGTTTGGCGCGGCTCCACATGACAAACGGGACACAGACGGGAGGGGTGGGACAGCAAACTACACAGAGCCCTCTGCCATTATCTTTCCAACTTTTCTGGTATGGATTCCAAAACCACAATCTTGGTCCACAGATAAGGTCATGTGTGTGCCACCAGCAGGCCACGTTTGAGCAACCATTACTCATCTATCAGTGAAACTCCCCAGAACTCCACCTTCCTGGGTAGAATGAGTAACGAGAAGAACAGAAATGTGAGTTGGCGCATGCCAAGCTCGTCTGAATGGGGAAAGCTAAGGATGAAGGAAAATGCTATGCTGAGGAGACTTGGAAGGTGCAAAAGGTGGCGGTGGGAACACATTTTTAGGAAGATAATGAAACTTTTTGGAGTTTGAGAGAGTCCACTAGCACGTCTTTTCAGGGCTTCACGACTTCGTTCCACCTCTGAAAAGAAATCAGAAACCTAACAGATTCGCGGAGGAACTCATTTGTCTCTAGAGTTTCACATTAAAACGAGCTGACAGATGGAAGCACCTGAGACGCAATATGGAACGTGCTAAATGAGAACACAGCCCAGCAGCGTGGTACCAGAGCCTTTCCCAGAAAGACAGAGTCCCTGGTGCTGGCAGGAGCACCAGCCCTGCTACCTGGTAGTTGCTATCCATGCCAGCATCGAGGAGGACCTGGACCACCGCCTTGTGGCCGTTCCGCGCCGCCAGGTGCAGAGGCGTGTGCTTCTTGGTGTTGCAGCTCAGGAGGTTGGGGTGGGCGTTCAGCAGCATCTTCACCACCTCCAGCCGCCCATAGAGTGCTGCCAGGTCCAGAGGGGTCTCGAATTTGTTGTTGCGCATGGTGGGGTCTGTGAGCTCCTCCAAGAGCACCTTTACCACCTCCGTGTGGCCATACTGCGCAGCGCAATGCAGGGCCGTCTCGTTGTCGTTGTTCTGAAGGGTTAACAAGCACAGCAATCAGAAAGGAGACTGGTGGCTGGCATCTGCCTGGGGTAATCACACATAAAACCACTGAAATTTAAATGAGAAGAATAGCAGCAATACTTGAGGACTAATTAAAGTCAGAATCCGGGCTACCCCCCACAAACAAGCCTGTCTGCGCCCATCAGTCACATCTTCCCTGGTTCCTGCAAAAGGGGAACAGTCACCCCAAAACATTTGCAGTCTCAGGTGTGCTCTGAAGGACGCATGTCTAAACTATAAGGACAGTGAACGAGGGAACGTGGCAGGCATGGGATAGACGGCCTGGCACAGGTGAATGCTGATCGTATCACTGCCATTGTTTCATTTTAACTTCAACTGGTTTTACAGTAATTTGTATTTGTTCAGCTCTGTAGTTCTGATTCTGGATTTGTCAACCATCCACTGCCCTTCACACAAGGTTGTTGTCTTTGTAGCTTCTTGCATGCAAATCAACAAGGCAGCGGTGATAGTTACAGAGCACAGCCCCAAAACACTCTCAAGAGATCAGCGAACAGCCACTTCCAGGGGAGGGAGGCACTGAGCTGCGTCTCGGGACACAGGGGGCCCTGCTCTGCACTGTGCCTAACCACCAGCCAGCGCATGCAGGAGCCCATTTACAGAAGTAGCAGCAGCACACAGGGGCATTTCTTCACAAGAAACATACGATCAGGCACTGGGGTGCTTGGTGTGAGAGGTGCACAATACTGTATTCCAATGTCACACTGCCATCAATTCATATTCACAAGCCATGGTCCTCTAGTGCCAGCTCTGTCTCAAACTGAACAGAGTCTAGAATGAACTGAGAGAACGCTGTGCTTTATCAATCATCAGAAGCAAAATGCTAGTTATTCCGATGTCCTTTTACTATGATTGATAACGTGCAATTAGAGTAGAAATAATTTCATGACCTCTCCCTTTAGAGATGCATGAATAAAGATAATTCTCCCCGAGACTCTGAGATTCCCAAATTGACTCAGGAGGCTTCTGCTACTTTGGGGAAGAGAAGCTTGAGAGGAGCCTGTCCACCAAGTCAATACGTATTGTGCATCCTCGGTCACAATAAAGGTCAAAGGTAAAAAGGAACAGATTAGGAGTTACCCAAACATGCAAGCAATTCCATCTGCTTTTGATCTGCATTTGACTGCATTTTTTTTCCCCAGCTATACCAAGTGTACCAGAAATATCCAGAGCTGCTGGAAGGAAGGGGCCCAAAGGCCAGAGTGACAGCAGAGAAAGTGTGACAGTGAAGTAAGGACAGAGAAGGGGGTAGCAGGAGCACATGCAAAGACAGAGGCACACAGAGGACACAGAGGGAGCGGTGCCAGCCCACACACAGCCCCCATGACCGCGGAGCCCACCAACAGGGCAGGGGCCAATCCACGCCAGCCCAGAGGTCCAGAGGAAGGAGAAACACTGGGCAGAAACCAAACGCCTGGGCTCCCTGTGCTTCACCAGCCAACTGGAGCACCCACTCAGAATGCCTGCTTCCTGAACAGACACAGAGCTGCCACTTGTCCTTCTGACGACAACACAGCTACATCAACAACATCACAGGGGTTCTCTGAAGAGTGATTCTGGGTCAGAGTGGCAGCCTGGAGAAGCTTACAAGGATTCTCCAGGTTTTACAGTTCAAGAACAGCAAGACAACAAGGCCAAGAACCTAGCTTGTTCTTGTTAAAATCCCACTCCAGAAAAACTTGTTTACTCTGAAGCAAAGGGTACTGTGCCTTTCATGTCCAAATTGTCTCTCAACATCCCAAATAATTTGTGTTTGATTTTATAAAAGGTATAGCATGAGGGTCTGAAAAAATAAATATAAAACTGTACAGCACCCAGGGGGCTCTGAAGGCTGGGAGTGGAGGCCCCTCACCCCATTCCAGAACAAAGACAGCTATCACACTAAGCTGTCCTGCTAAAAGTTTTCAAAATCTTGATCATCACCAGCAAATTTCCTGCCTTACATTAAATGATGCCACCACATCTCCGCGGAAAGTTACGTGTGAATTTACAATGGAGGGAACATACCAGTATGTTTCAGTCTTACCAGACTGGTCTAACAACTATAATCCTCTTCGGTTTATGTCTGTAGTGAGCACATCTCTCTACCGCTGAACGCACCATCACAATGAGCTCGCACTATGGTTTCCTCTTTAGGCTTGACAACAATCACCGTATGAAGTCATTAAGCATTGATTCACGGACCCACAAGGGAGGGACTCCAAGGACAGGCAAAGACTGCTAATTATCTGGAATCCTTCCTTTTCACGCTGTGGGTGCTCACACCATCTCAAGTCCACTGCATCAGCCAGGTGTGGTGGCCCATGACCGTAAGCCCAACTGCCTGAGAACCCGAGCCAGGAAGATCAGGAGTTTGAGTCCAGCTTGGGCAACTTAGTAAGACTCTCTCAAAATTTAACAAATGAGAAGAGCTGGGGATGTAGCTCAGGGGATGAGCACTTGCCTAGTGTATGCAGCAGTTCTGGATTTAATCTCAGCACTGTAACAACAAAAAAATGACCTCCCAGAATTATATTACTGTGAGTCTACCCTGGGGGAGGGGGATGGACAAAATACTCCAATTTTCTCCCAGATCAAATGCTTCACTCCTACCCACCTTGGGACTCACTTT